CCCAAAACCCCAAAACCCCAAAACCCCAAAACCCCAAAACCCCAAAACCCCAAAACCCCAAACGAAGATTCTAGAACTGAAAGAATTTAAAAAGTCTGCTAAATCAAAGATGGTTTGACTCAAATTTAGATAAGATTAAGTAGATTAATCAACTTCTTCCATTTTGGTGGCTTCGTCATCACCATCAGCATCTCCGTCGTCGACTAGATCTGGGAGGTCATCATCTTCATCTTCCTTATCATCGTCATAGATGGAAAGACCCAATTTGATCATTCTGTGGATTCTTCCGGCAAAGGTGGTTGACTCTTCAAGAGAGAATCCAGAGGTCAAGAGGGAGGTTTCATACAATAGCCAGATCAAGTCCTTGACGGTCTTATCTCCTTGGTCTTGTTCAGCCTTCTTTCTGAGCTCATCAATGATTGGATGCTTGGAGTTGACTTCCATTGTCTTCTTGGAAATCATGTAAGAGGTCATGGAGTTATCTCTTAAAGCCTGAGCTTTCATGATTCTTTCCATGTTAGCACTCCATCCGTTCTCACTGGTGACGAGCACACATGGGGAGTCTTCAATTCTGGATCCGAGTTGGACCTTTTCAACCTTATCGCCGAGGACATCCTTCATAAGCTTACAGAGAGCTTCAAATTTAGCTTTTTCTTCTTCTTTCTTCTTCTTTTCCTCTTCAGTCTCTTCGAGGTCGAGTCCTTCCTTAGTGACTGAGACGAGCTTCTTTCCGTCATATTCCTTGAGTTGCTGGACAGCGTACTCATCGATTGGGTCTACGAGGAAGAGTACTTCGAGTCCTCTCTTCTTAAGTCCTTCAATGAATGGAGACTTAGAGACTGCAGCAATAGATTCTCCAGTGATGTAGTAGATAGATTTCTGTCCTTCCTTCATTCTTGACACATACTCCTTGAATGATACGAGATCATCTCCGCTCTTAGTAGAGTGATATCTCAAGAGTTCAGCCAACTTAGTCCTGTTGTTTGAGTCTTCGTGGACACCCAACTTGATGTTCTTGGAGAATTGCTCATAAAACTTCTTGTAGTCTTCTTGGTTCTCGGAGAGCTCAGCGAACATTTCGAGGCACTTCTTGATGATAGATCTTCTGATTACTTTCAAGACCTTGTTTTGCTGGAGAGTCTCTCTTGAGATGTTCAATGGGAGATCATCACTATCAACAACTCCCTTGATGAATCCAAGCCATTCTGGGATGAGTTCATCACAGTCATCCATGATGAAGACTCTTCTGACGTACAATTTGATGTTGTTCTTCTTCTTCTTGGACTCGAAGAGATCGAATGGAGCTCTCTTTGGAACGAAGAGGAGAGCCTTGAACTCAAGTTGTCCCTCAACTGAAAAGTGCTTGACACCAAGATGCTCTTCCCAGTCATTGGAGATAGACTTATAGAAAGAAGCGTATTCTTCCTTAGTAACTTCTTCTGGCTTCTTCATCCACAATGGCTTGGTCTTGTTCAACTGCTCGTATTCATGAGAAACTTCCTTGATCTTCTTTTTCTTCTTTTCCTTCTCTTTCTTCTCTTCCTCTTCGACCTTAGGCTCGTCTCCTTCACCTTCCTTCTTCTCGTCCTTCTCGTCTTTCTTGTCTTCGTCCTTCTTCTCGTCATCATCGTCATCATCAGACTCAGTGATTTCTTTCTCAGTGGTCTTCTCGCACAAGAGCTCAATTGGGAATCCAATGAATTCAGAGTGCTTTTTTACAAGATCCTTCACTCTCTTCTCTTCTAAGAACTCAAGCTGGTCTTCTTTGAGGTGGAGGATGATCTTGGTTCCTCTCTTGAGGTCCTCGCTGTCATCCTTGTTGATGGTGAAGGTACCTCCAGCATTAGACTCCCATCTGTATTGGTCGTCATCGTTGGATTTAGAGATAACAGTCACTCTTTCGGCAACAAGGTAGGTAGAGTAGAATCCTACACCGAATTGGCCAATCATTGAGAGATCAGCTCCTTGGGATACTGCTTCCATGAAAGCCTTGGTTCCGGATTTAGCAATGGTTCCGAGGTTGTTGATCAACTCAGACTTAGTCATGGCAATACCACTGTCATAGATAGTGAGGGTATTGTTGCTTTTGTCTGGGATAAGCTGGATCTTCAAGTCTGGATTTGACTCCAAAGTTTCTGGCTCAGTGATTCCCTTGTATCTCATCTTATCTAAAGCATCTGAGGCATTAGAAAGGAGCTCTCTCAAGAAGATCTCTTTGTTGGAGTAGAAGGTGTTAATGATCAGACTCATCAACTGCTGCAAATCGGCATTGAAACTGAATACTTCTTCAGACATCTTGACTATTGTATCAAAAATTAATTATCTCTTTCTCAAAACACATGCTTTTATATGGGGTTTTGGGGTTTTGGGGTTTTGGGGTTTTGGGG